GCTTCAAACCAAGCCATTTGGTTGAGAAAATTGCTTACTGATCTGCAATTCCTTAGAATCATGCTACTGATCTTTTTGTAGACAATAAATCTGCTATTGCCATCACAAAAAATCCTATTAGTCATGGAACAACGAAGAGCATCCATGCTAAGTTTCACTCTATTAGAGATGTCGAGAAGAGAAAAGAGATTTGTGTTCAGTACTATTCTTCTGAATCATAGCTTGCTAACATCCTGACCAAGACCTTGATGAAGACCAGGTTTGAGACTCTCAGAAACAAGCTAAACGTTTGGAATGCAAGTGTTAAGGAGGAGTGTTAAGAGTAACACTTGCATGGCTTGTGACACTTATCCTATTTTGATGTAAATTAAATTAGCTTATAGCAAGCTACTTAATGTTTGGTGTCCATGTAAGTCTGCATGTATGTTAATGCTTTTCTATATACACTTGGTGATTAAGTTCATACAAGTGTTCTTGTTAGTCATATATAAGCAGTCATCTTCATGTGTTCTGCTTTAGTAGATGACTGAGCCACAACAGATTGCTTGTGAGTGTTCCATGAGAAAGCTCCATTGCCGAGAGTGAAAACATATCTTGAGGTACTCTTTGAGTCATCAATGTTGCCAGCTCAATCACTATCTGAGTACCCTATAAGTTTGAATTTAGGAAACCTTGTGAAGTGAATTCCATGGTTCAATGTACATTTTAGATACCTGAGGACAAGTTTGGCTACAGTATAATGTTGGTCATTGGGTTCCTTCATAAACCTTGATAGAAAACTAACATAATACATAACATCAGGTCAAAAGGAACAGACGTAGAGCAAACACCCAATCAAGTTCCTATAAACAATATGATCCTTAAGCTTGTTTCCAACTTCGAATGTTAATTTTTCATTTGGAACAAGTGGTGTTGCAGTGGACTTTCACTGACTCATGAGGAATTTTTTTAGCACTTCACTGACGTAATTTTTTTGTGTCAGAGGAATGCCATACGATGATTGTTTGATTTCCAAGCCTAGGAAATAACTCATCAATCCAAGGTCTATCATATCAAACTCTTTCTGTATCTCAAAATTAAATTTACATAGAGCTCTGTCATATTTCCTTGTGACTAACATATCATCAACGTACAGGGAAACCATCAACATTACTTGTCCACCAGATTTGAATATGTAAAGAGTAGCCTCATTGAAGCTTTTCACAAAGCCGTAATTGGCTAAGTAAGCATAGATTCTGCTGTACCAAAAGCGTGAGGCTTTTTCCAAGCTATACAAGGCTTTGTGTGGCTTATATACTTTGTTCTTTCATAGCATTAACTTAAATCCTTCTAGTTGGTCAACATATATTTTCTCTTCAAGAACTCCATTAAGGAATGTTGATTTGATATCCAAGTGGTACACATTCCAGCCTAAGGTTGCAGACAAAGCCAATAATAATCTGATTGTATCATAATGAGCTACTAGAGTATATGTCTCCATATAGTCAATTCTTGGTAGTTGGCAGTATCCTTTCACCACCAGATGTACTTTGAATTTGTTAAGAGATCCATCAGGATTAAGCTTTTTCTTGAATATCCACTTAACCCAATTGATATGTCAATCATTTGGCTTATCAACTAGAGTCCAAGTACCACTTTTGTTTATCATACACAACTCATCATGCATTACAGCAACCCATTCAGGGTATTTTGAGGCTGCACTATAAAAGCTTGGCTCATATAAAGCCACAAGGCTTCTCTGATAGATATCCTCTAGTTAACCTGTCCTTCTTATTAGCAGGTCATCTACATCATCTATCTCAAGCTCATATGTGGGTGATTTATCAGTTACAACATCATTTAATGGGCCATAAGTATCATCAGTCTACTGTGTCTCTCAATCCCAACTTGCTTCTTCATCAAACATTACATTTCTACTTATAGTAATCTTATCAAATTTTGGTAAATAGATTCTATAAGCCTTTGAATGAGAGCTATACCCAATAAAGATAACTTTTTGAGCTTTGTGATCAACCTTGTCACGTTGGCCTTATGGTACATGCTGGTAATGCACTAAACCAAATACTTTGAGATGCTTAACAAATGGTTTGCATCCATGCCAATCCTCATAAAGTGTCTTGTCTTTAATGGCTTGAGTTGGAAATATGTTGAGGAGATAAACTGAGGTATTTGCAACCTCTGCCCAGAATTTCTTAAGTTAATTCTTCTCGAATGAAAGGCATCTATACATCTCAAGAATAGTCCTATTCTTCCTTTCGCTGACACCATTTTTCTGAGGGGAATAGGGTCTTGCCAATTGATGCATTATGCCTTCTTCACTGAGAATAGAGAGCATTCCTTAGAGGTGTACTCTCCTCCATTGTCAGTCCTTAAAGCTTTGATCTTACAACCTGTTTCTAGTTCAATCTATGCTTTGAAGTACTTGAATAGGTTAAACATTTCATATTTACCTTTTGTAAAATATATCTAGCACATTCTGAACAAGTCGTCATTGAAAAGTAAATAAAATTTACTGCCATTTAAAGATTCCACACTCATAGGACCACTTACATTAGAATGAATAAGACCAAGCCTGTCTTTAGCTCTAGTAAAGGTAGCAAAAGGATATGGTTTCCTAGACATCTTGGCAAGCTGACATGTACCATAAACTGAAGTTTTATCACATAAATTTGGCAAGTTTTCAATTAAGCCAAACATACTTACTTGCTGGAGTGAGCGGTACTTGCAGTGACCAAGACACTTATGCCACAAGTTTGTCTTGTTTGAGTCACTAATAAGAGCTTGAAGACATAATTGCTCTATGTTCATTGACAAACACTTATTTCTCATAGGGATAGTTATCAAGTAAGTACCAGAAGGGTCAAATATCTTGTAAGCATTGTCTTTAAACAATAATGCATAATCATTCTCAATTAACTATCCCACACTCAACAAATTTTGAGTAATTGAGGGTACTAAGAGAACATTAGATATATACCTGGTTCCAAAAGAATTATGTATACTGATAGTACTTTTGCCAACAGCATTAAGATATATTCCATTCCCTATCTTCACCCTCGACCAATAATTCTTGTTTAAATCAACAAACACAACATCTGTTAGAGTTATATGGTTTGAACAACCACTGTCCAAAAGCCAATCATGTTGTCAATTTCAAATTTGGTGCTACACAATGTCATAAAAAGTATCTCTTCTGCCATCTCGACCTTTTTAGTAGATGAAGTGGCCTTCTCAAAGTAGTAGACTTGTTTTTACAACCTTTGTCAACATGCCCTTTCTTATTACAGATTTTGCACTTCAGGTCAAGCCTGGACCAACAATGTTCTTCTGCATGGTTCTTTTTCTTGCAATAAGAACACATTTTAAATTTGCTTTTCTTGCTAAAGGCATGGAAGGGCTTTTTATCTTTCTATTTAGAATTTTTCTTAGATTCAGAATCAAGGTTGGCTTTCCCTTTGTGTCTAGCAACTAATGCATTCGCCATAGTAGCATCCTGACGTGCAGTTCCCCTTTGTTCATAAGCTTCCAGTGCACTCACTAACTCAATAATAATGAGTTAAGACAAGTCTTTAGTTTACTCTAAGGAGGACACTATCGCTTCAAATTTTTTTGGACCACTATTAAGAATTTTCTGAACTACCCGTACCTCTTGCAAGGCTTCACCTAGCATGCGAATCTAATTTACCAAGTGTATAACTTGATTAGTATAATCCATGACAGATTAAGTGTCTTTCATTCTAAGAAGCTCAAACTCTCTTTGAAGATTTTAATCCCGCATATGTTTGGTTCTTGCAGAGCCCTGAAACTCTTGTTGAAGTTTGTTCCACACTTCATTTGCAGTCTTGCAACCTATGGTTCTACTAAATATAGTCTCAGACACAGTTGCATGAATGAAGGACAAAGCTCTGCATCGCTTTGCTATCTCTTCAGAGTACTGTTTAATTTGAGTAATTGTTGCATTATCTCTCAACTCAAGCAGCTCTTCCTCTGATTCTATAGCATTCTAGAGGTCATATCCTCTAAGATAGGCCTCTATCTTGATAGCCCAAATTGAGTAATTTTTGCCATCAAAGATGGGTGGAGATGGGTGAGGTACTGTAGGCGTCGACATGTTGCTAAAGGTTGAGAAATTTGAAGAGTGGTGGCTGGACTTTAGATGTATGGTGAGTTTACTAGTATTTTAAGTCTAAGTGAGATCTTGCTCTCGCAAGAGCTTTGATACCATGCTATTGATATTAAGCAAGAACATTAGCCTCTAACAAAGGTCAAAAGAACAGAGACAAGTAAGGAACTTAGTAGAATATTGGAGAAAATTATGAGAATTTTTATGTATACTACTATCACTAAGTACATGAAGATGACAGCTTATATATGACCAGCAAGGACACTTGTATGAACTTATTCACGAAGTGTATATAGATAAGCATTAACATATATGCAGACTTTCATGTACACCAGATACTAAGTAGCTTGCTACAAGCTGATTTAATTTACATCAAAATAGGACAAGTGTCACAAGCCATGCAAGTGTTACTCTTAACAAAACTTGCGTTCATTTGGCAGTCTATTTGTTGGCATTTAGCTTCACTGGGTTTGGAGGAAAGTCTACTTGGGATTTTTGGCCCCATAAAATGAAGAGAAACTCGAAAACACATCTTGTTTTTCTTGTACCATGATAGAACCACACTGAGCGTGAGCAAAAATCCTTCGATTGATGTTTTCATCAAATTTGTCTCTCTAGTTCATTTTTGTTGAAACTGTGGTCTAACTCATACTTCCTCTTCAATGCATGAAATTACTACAAAATTCCTTCCCTAGGAAGCTATTAGAAATATATAGGAGTAGAAGGAAATTCTGTATGTGTACATTTACTTCTGCATTACTATTTTACATGGCAGCAAGCAAAAGCAACCGCTTATTAATTGACACCAACTATTTATTCAAGAAAACCGTCTTTAAGAGTAGATTAAGGTTTGACTAATGAAGCCACACTTTATAACTTAAGAAGCACCAACAGCAATCTTCAAGCCCCCATCACAATGACCTGGGATGCTGCAAATGAAATAGTTTCGTCCCTTTGATAGTTTGATTTTCCAGTGCTGTAAACCTCAGAGGTTGGAGAAGCAAAGCAACTATTGTAGCCTTGGATGTCAACTACTGCCACATTATGCATCGATGGATCATAATTGAAAACTGCATAAAAATACGTCCAAGTCAGTTACGTAAAATGAACTGAAAATAATAGCTGCTGTGTCTAGACTAGAATAGAGATTATGCAGAGGTGGATTAATTTTCTCATACCAAGGGCGTCCCCGGCCGTGAACCTTTTCCCCTTTGACCAGCTTTGAACGTTAAAACTCCAGCCTGAAGTATCACCAACGGTAAACATTTTTGCTCGAGTCATGTGGGATTGAACTAAGAGCAAAACAAGAGTGCAGGCGGGAAATAAAACTGGGATTGCACTGCATATTCCCTGGTGGGACCTTTTCCTCGCTAGAGTACTAAGTTCTTATGAGAGGTTGGTATTGGATTACTAAAAGGAAGTGATTGCCTAGTTGGTTTTATAGAGGATATGCCCACTAAAGGATATGATGTATAGTTTTGGTCATGGCAAGAAAACTTTTATTTGTTAAAGATTTATCAACGGTTGGTGCAATTGTAGCAGAAGAAAAAGGCCAGCCAAAGAATCAAAGAGAAACAAAAGAGGCCCGATATTCCTTCCCATTCCTTCAATCATTAGGTGGCTGGTGTAAATTTGAAAGAACTTTTATAACTTTATTTTGAACCATTGCCATACTTGTTCTGAAATAGTTGCTGCAGAAAACTATAAATCTCGTGAGCTCTTCATCTCTTTGATTTAAAATTGAAAGAAAAGGACTAATTTGATTGTTACTTTGACAAGCATTTCCTACCTATATTTCTTTAGAATTCTCCTTTCTCGTGACTATTTGGGTGGCCAATGAAATACCTACTTAGACCGATGTCCAAGTGTGTCAATGTGAAGGGCAAGAGGCGACATTTGGCCGGCGTTTTTTGTTTTGTTGCCAAGCAGATGGTTTTAAGATTCCAATTTTATTGTTGGTTTCTTCTTCACGTGTGAATCAGATGAAGAACGTGATATTAAATGAAATGGAGAATCCAAATGCATTTGAGTGCTTGGCATTGATTCAATTGTTTGCATGAAGTATAAAGGAGGTCTTAGCTTGGTAGACATTTCCATCTCTTTTTACAATAATTGAGATTTGAGAGTCACTTCTTACCATGGCATTCACGGGATGCTATAACCTAACAACTCAAACCTAGGATTACCCCATATTACATGGAAAGCGAGATTACCGATTTAAGACATTCTTCATCTCCTTGCATGACCTTTTCAATAAAATTTCCAAACAGAAAGGACAGGGAATTGAATATGAGAAGAAGAAGATGATGATGATGATGAAAAAAAATGGAAGGGATTATTATTACATAATTTTCCCAAAAAAATAAATACAACAGTTCTAGATTACAGGGATGTGACATACTTGGAGTTAACAGAGCAGCAGCGATCATGCCTTCAGGGATACATCAATATTAATGGAGGAGTCTGTTAAGATGATGTCTTTTGAATTATCAGCTTTTGGGTGATCTTGACAATTAAATTTTATTCTCACATGCAAAGGTTTTATGAATATGAAGTCTCTCAAATCTATGTTAGATTTTAACAAGAATTGAATGCAAGAATTGGCACCAAAGTCTTCAATTCTCTCAGGGTTTAAAATCTCTGCTACCCTTGCGGCGAATTTCTCCTGATTGTCATCTTGTAAAACAGGATTTCTTCTAAGTTTTAGATACAGTGCTGCATAAATGATAACCTGTGTGACACCAAAGACATCAATTTCTTCATACCTTTGCAGGACAACTTTAAAGCTAAGACTCAAACTACCGTTTAAAACAAAAACCTAGAGGCAGGTGGAAGCTGTACTTTTATCACTAGTATAGTGATAGAGAAAGAGAGCAAGTGTACCTCGCTTGTTCCAGGACTTGTGTTAACAACACAATCAATGTGAATTCTTTGATCTTCAGAATTTGTATCTGTAGTAGCAATATCATCCTCCATTACCAATTCTGATTCAGGAGTTGAAAAGGCAAGATTGTCCAGTTCATCATACCATTGTTGAGCAACACCAACCTGTATGGACCCAATAATTGGCTTAAGCTACTCAACACAACTAGCCACAGCAAATAACATGAATGTAAGGTAGAAACCTTCTCTGCGGATCCTGCCACACCCTCCACTACCGAGACTTCAGTAGCAGCCCCCCTTGCCTGGCACCATATGCAACTTTCATCCAAAGGTTCTACCAGTTCAGTGTCTGCAGGGATGTCTATGCTTAACTGAATGTCAACCCTTCCTGTTAGAGACACAGCTTTATGAGACATCAAATTTTGGGCTAAAAAAAAAAATCAAACACTGGCATCCAAGCACCTATTTCTGTGCACGATAGTTTTGCAAACTCCACCTTTCTTTTTAAGTTTAGTTTTGAAACTTTTGAGGACAAGAAAGGTGAACAACTGGGTTAAGGTGCCCTACTTCCAAAATTTATAATAAAAAAGTAGCTAGAGTGCCTGCCTCAGACACAACAGAATGCTTTGGCTTTTTTATTGAACTGTTACATGATCTTAAATTTCAAGGATATTTCAGAACTCTTGACATTTCCCACTTCATTAATCATTTCATTATAAAGGAAGTTCTTAGGAGTCCAGAAACAATATTCTTTCATAACTGTCCATAGAAGATTCCAATAATCACACTTTATTTTATTGGCTTAAATTTGCTGTTGAGAAGATATTACTGTACAAAGAAACCTCTATGCCTGCTTAATATCATCCATATATGCTGAAATTTGCTTGTACTCACTTTTGTCACGTTATCAAAATCATGCTGTGCATGGTCCACCATTACCGTATGTTTGGTAAAATTATGGAAGCTTCCAGTTTTATTTACTTCTAATATAGTAAAAGTTTGGCTATAATTTGGTAATATAAATTTCATATCTACAGCTCCTATTTCTTCTACATGCTAGCAAATAGTTAAAGAATAAAAACAATTCCTATGCACAGATTTTAGAGATCTGCCCTTCCATAGCACTTTGTGTGCATGGCAGATCATAGGTTATGTCCATTAGTGCTTCACACATAATGGCAATGCCTGACTTAATTCTTAACATGTGACATCAGAAAGAAATACAGATACACATCTAAGCACCTTAGAACAACAAACCAATAAAAAGGATGGAAACAAAAAAGCAGTCTTAGTTCAGCCCAGGTAAGAGCATTTCTTAGTTCTATGTTTATGTGAGATGCAATACTACATAACACAGCCATGCAATTACTCGGAAGGAAGATACCAAAAAAGAAAACAATTGTTAGCAACGAAAAACCAAATTATAATGTCTGCCTAATTATTGAAATCATAATTGAACACCAACTTAGGTAGGCAGATTAGATTAATCTCATTTAAGTATTAGGGGAAGAGAAATAGCAACTAAACATTATTTGTGCAAAGAAAGCACAAACCTAGACATTGATAGCGGCCAGTAAACTACCTGGCAACAAACTCAATTGCTGAATATGATCAGTTTGTCCTGTGGAAAGTCCTGCAGCACTGTCAATCAGCCAAGAAAAACAGTAAAAAGGAAAATCAGTGGAGTCAGAATGAAACCGAGTTCTCTCCTAAACTATCACAAAGTAGAGCAGTACATTATATTATACAGGGCTTCCAAAACATTAGTAACTTGGCAAGACCCATCTATGCGAAACAAAGCAATAAAAAAGAATTGAAAGCTGGAAGGGGATTAAGGGAAGAAGACCAATAGAATCAGGGTTGAAATGAGAACCCTTTGCAATTTTGAAAAGATATAAAATACTCACGCGGCATAAAATCTTTCCAGAGGGAAGGACAACCAATAGGGGAGTCCAAGGATCCTCAGATTAGAAAACTGGAAACTTGAACAGATTCCAGATTCTCTACTTAGTTTCAGAACTCCCTGGCCAACTTGAAATACACATTAAGAAATGAGAAATGCTCGGAAAACCTCACTAACATCTATTTAAAGAGGCAAAAGTAACACAGCCACAAAAATTTAGTACCAGTGTCACACATGACTACGTGATTTTGGAAGGTTGTAACACTTGATATGAGACCAGTATATGGAAACCCCTCTAGTGCTAAGTTAGTATCAGTTTGATCTTGCAACAGATAATCTGGCATCTTTTTCAAGAGGGATAATTTCTCCATGATCAAGTGTCTGCAGAGCTCCAAAATATTTGGAAATCCTTCATAGAAATTAGATAAGAAATGTTAGACATATTCAGCTGATATATAATATAAAGCAAACAAAAGAAATATAGAAAAGCAACTTTTAACCTTTGACAACTTCTATTATTTCTCCCGATGCAAATTCCATGACCCATAAAGTTTGAAAGCTGCAAACCACAGTTAAGTAGAATAATAAGAATCAGATATGTAGCCTACTGATTCAAGGCATTTGTGATAACATTAAAATCATGGATTGGGTAGAAGCACGCAAGTCAACGCTGCTAGCTTGGCACCAAAATAGATAGTAGTATTATTTTATTAACTTAAAGTTAAAACAACAGATAAAGCAAAGAAGAAAAAACAAAGCCATGAAGAATACAAAGAAATTAGGCCTGGCTTATGATCTACAAATTAAATCCTTCCAAATTCATTTTTCTAATAAACAATGAAGCCAGAGGTTCCACCATTCTGCCAACAAGTAATTGGAGTATGTTACCAAGAGACCTTTGACCCAAACTTGTGCAAGACAATATGTTTACCGACCATGCAAAGTCTAGAAGTTTGGTAAGAACTCTATGAGAAAAGTACCTAAGACTTGTTGATAATAAAAAGATAATAAGATTTACCTTCGGCTGATAATTAAAAAATTATTATCCTCAGACTTTATCAGATGCCAAGGACACAATAGTGTATGGGAACCATGCTTTTCATACTTCACATCAGCATCACTTCCAAAACCCAGCTTATCTCTGATCCACGTCCACAAACTATTACTTTTCTTGTTGAGGCTAGATGTTGGATAAACCGTCTCCAAAACCCTCCTTTCCAAATCAGCTCTCCTGATGGCATGATTCTTAACAGATAGGGGCAAACCAAAAAAACAAAAAAAAACAGTAAATAATTAAACCCTAATTAAAATACCACTAGCATATCTCCATGACATGCCACTGAGACAAAATGCCAACAAAGGAACAAAAACTAATTCTAACATAGTATATTGCCTGAAAGATGATAGAACAAGAAGTCAGACGAACATCAAGAAGTAGGTAGATAAATCCAGAGCGACAATAGGATAGAATTTCAAAGAATTTATCACTTCCTTTGAATCTATATTTAGCTAAAAATAAGAATATAACAAAGGAATATCTGGGAGAACAGTGACTCGAATGTTGAGAGCCTATAATGCATACTAAATACGTTAAAAGAATTGTCATAAGCATTAAAACAAAATGGTGTTTTATACAAAAAAAAAAAAAATCATAACCAATGTCATATGATGGAGATTTTTATACCCAAGACCTTAGTGCCTGAAATTTAAGATCCAATATCAAAGAATGTTAAGACCCTAAGAACTTACCTCCGAATCCACAATATACAGGAGATCTTCAGTGGCATGATAAAAGGAAGCAGCTGGGCGAAGCAGCTTTGCAGACTCGAATTCCCCATCCTCAAAACCTGGGCAAGAACCAATCTGACATATAAAAAATTTAAGTCTGAATCTAAACTGTTTTGTCCAATATTTCAGCTTATAGCTAATTACAAGAGGAAAAAAATTGAATAGGGGATAACAAGGATGTAAGAAAGCTCTGAACTCAAAATTTTACATCATTATCTATAAACGATTACAGGTACAATAAAGCAAAAAGTGAGTGAAATCCATTGGCTGGCTGACCAACAATCAACTGCTGAAATGATGCTGACCTGACCTATTTCAGTTCATTGATGATTTCAAGTAGCCACAAAGGATAAAAGGAATCAGTTTGACATTTTTTTTTCAACTTTTTGCTTTCTGCTTTTCACAAAGAAACCTTTATGATTTTTACATTTTGCTAAACAGTAAAAGTGATAAAGAAAAGGAAGGCCAGGCACCTACCCAATTTTTTCATTGTTCTATTTCTAATTGTTGCAGTATATATTAAAAATTTTCAGTTAAAAATTACATGGGATAAAATAACCACCAGCAAAAATAAAGTCTCGTAAAAGAGCCACTGCAACTTATGAGTTTAACTCCCATACATACACTGTCCAAAATCTTCCCATCTCCATCAAATATGATTATCCGGTGGTGATTGCTGTCAGAAAGGAACAGACGCTCGCCACTTTCATCCACAGAGATGCATGCTGTAAAAAAATAATGAGAGTTTTGAGAAGATTCTATCTTTCATTTCATCTCATCACTTTAAACTAACAAGACAAAGCAGTAATGTTCTTAAAAATTATACTAACTACATTGATACTCATTCAGTTTTAGACAAATCAAAGGTCCTGCACTGAGCATAGTTTGATCTCATAATTTGATCAAATCATTGATCACTCTTACAACATTACTAAAATAGCCAATGCAGTACATGGAAAGTCAAAAGATATGGTGCCATGAAAAACATATACCTGGGAAGTAAAGAAGTAAATTCTGCAGTGCAGAGCAAAAATGGGGTTCCTTAATGATCTCTGCTTCTTTTGACCAGGAGCTTTTCAAGTTATGAAGTGCAATAGAATTGACTTGGTTTTGCGTGCTTAACTCCTCAATGACTGCAAAAGGGCAGCAAAATCAGAAGACAAAAAATGTAAATGTGTGTGTTCATACACGCATGTAGAATTATCTACCCACATGTGCCCCAGCAAATGCCATGCATATCAAAAAAAACATGCAAATCAAAGTTCATAAAATCATACTCATATGTAGATGACAATTACAATGAGTGGAGAATGAAACCCAAAGAGAAGGGGGAGGGTGGAAAAGCCATAACAAAAAGAAATGGTTCAATATGGAAACAACCATGCTGGAAAGAAGAGCATGTCAAAAAAGTTGGAGCTACAGGAATAGGAGCTGCTCTACAGGAGGAGAGAAGGAGAAAATAAAAAATAAAAAAAGGGGAGGGGGTTGGGGGGATCAAAACTTTTGGATATAAAAACACCAAAGAGAGAAGCACATAGATTGAGAAGAATTTAGGACAATGCATTTTTAGATACACCATCCCATTTTTCACGCTGCATAAGTTATTTATGCCAAAATCATACTTCGAGGGTCATAATTGTAAAACCAACTAATCCAAACCAAATACTTGAAACAAAAACTTCAGTGGATTTTTTCAATAAAAGACATGAAAAAGCAAATACAACAACTGATAAACAACAAAATACAATTGACACAGTGACAATCACAATCAGTACTATAAGATATGATATTGACAGTGAAGGCAAGCATCCTAACTACAATAGATAGCCCACATTCATAAGATATCCTTCAAATGATTTCCTCATTGTGCCAATTAAAAAGCTCAAAGTTCGGAGAATCATACCAAGAATTTTGGAGTCTAAAGGCTGAATATTTTGTGTGGGAAGTAATATCTCAGTTGTTCTAAAATGTAAAAGAGACTGCAAGCAGCAATAGCTCCATTTCTCATGCAACATCCTCACTATTAAAACTACGTTGTTGCAAGAGAATTAGTTGCTACAAAAAAAACAAAGTGCATACCTTTGTTAAGCATTGCTAGCTCCAGGTCCTTCTCATGGAAAATTAGAGGATTCTTAAAATCTTTAGATAAAATGTAGCATGCTCCATCTCCCAACTAAATATATAGAGGGAAAAAATAATCATAAGGCAGTTTTAAGTCATGACATAGTGTTAGAATAATTCATAGCAAAAGACCTAAGCAAAGCTTTAGAATAATTCCTAGCAAAAGATCCATGCTTAGATTTATTTCCTAGTTCCAGATTGCACTGAGGTGTCAATGGAAGATATGGGAAAGTGCTCTACTGTGATATCCCTTTCTTTCCTTCTTTCTTTTTCCCTATTTCATTAGCTTCCCAATAAATTATCAATAAGCAAATATAATGTGAAAGTGCATAAAAGAGGTTAGCAGAAAATAGTGTCTCATATGCATTGATGCTATGTTGAATGCCTACAGAAAACAGAAGAATAACAGCTTACGGGTTCCATTTAAGCAGCCAGGGGAACCTTACTTGACACCATGACTTATTTGTGAGAATATGATTTTGAAGTAAACTTCGACTCTCACAAATTATGGGAAAGGATTTCATTCATGAGCAAGTATGGCTTTGTAACCATATAATCCAAAATCAAAACTTTACCTCAGAAAAGCTCTTGTTTGACAACAAAAGCGGAATAGTAATGTATTCTTTCATTATCAATTGAACAAGTTGACTTCGATCATCAGCAGAGCAAAGTGAACTGCAATCCTGGAAACCAATAACTCGTAGCCAAGGAAACCTACAATAGCAAAACATAATATTTTTTCTCAGAGGAAAAAAACCCTCAAATGTTCAAGAAGCTTAGAGAAACAAATATCCACTATCTCTCTACCTCTGCTGAAGTAACTTCACTTTTTCAAATATAACAACCACATCACATCCTACTTTCTCCGAATTCTCAAAGAACCTTGTGGCAACAATTAAAAACGTCCCATCCTTTTTTAACGAATCCTTGTTTTCGTCAACTCTATTTAACCAGCAATGATGAGGACCTGTATATGCGTTTTAGAAGCCTATGCAATGAGAATTATGCAGCAAACACAAGAAAAGAATATATATCGGGAATCCCTGAATAGTAATTTTCGAGCAAATGAAAAAAGGTAGTAGATTTGAATACCTTGAAGCTGATCAAAAGCGGATTCAATGAAAGACAACAAATGGAATTCAAAAGGAGGGTCCTGAGATGGTTGTGCAATTGTCGAGTGCCTGAAAGAGACTGTCATTTGTAAATTAGGAGAGCCAAAACAATACACAAATGTTGAAATCAATGCTACAGTAGGAACCCAAGTTTAAATATTTTAAAATGAAAATGAAAATGAAGTGGCCCATAAATTGGAAGAGAAACCTGAAAATCTCTCGGAAAATCTATTGCTCATTTCATTGCATTCATGAAGGAAACGATTCGAGGAGGAAGCTACTGAGTTGAGTGATCGTGTAGACGGTTGATAATGATAGCCTGAACTTGCCAGAAAAAGCAATCAAAATATAATCAATTGGAAACAAAAATGAATTAAGTAAAGGCCTAAAACGGGAAAAGACCTGAGGAAAAACGGGGCAAAAGGCTAGAAATTTGTCTGAGATGACGATGCCTCAGAGACATTTTCTAAGTTATTTCCCAAGGAAAACAAATTGGGATTCTCCTGAGTCCTACTTTTCTTTTTTGCAATTCCGAGCTTCAAGTATCGGCTGGGGGTTTTCACTCTCCGGGTACCGGGTAGGGTTTAAGCTATCCGTTAGCCACCCGGGTTCATGGTCAGTTCAGGTCAGTTTAACTTCTTGGGCCGGGTTAAACTAGAGATTTTGGGCCTTCCTTTCTTGAGCTCCTAAGAACATATATTTTATATTTATACTTTATATTACATTAATTCTTAATCTCACTTTTATACGTCAATCAAATTGAAATGTTTTTCTCTCTTCTTTGAAGAATAAAACCACAAAGTCACATATTTTTTCATCCACGTAATACTTAAAAAATTCTCTAAATTATTTCAAGAAATTTAAATAAATCATTTATTATATTCAAAATGTAAATCAAGTCCTTATTTTTATTACAATTATTCTTTTATTACATTTAGTTGAGTCTTTATATTTTGATATTAAATCAAATAAGTCTTTATGATTAATAGTTAATTGGTTGTTGTTAATCAATGTGCCAATTGTCATTTTATAACATATGATGCTAACATGACATATTGTCATATCATAGTGAATCATAACATGATATATTGAAATAATATAATAATATGACCGTATGACATTTGTTACCATCTACACCAACATCGTATAAATATAAAATGACGAGTGACATTTTAACTAATAGTAACTAATTAGTTTACTGTTACTCTTAAAGACTTATTTGACTTTAAATAAAAATAAAAAATCTTAATTAAATGTAATAAAAAAATTATTTAATTTTTTTTAAATAGTTTAAATTTTTTTAAAAATATCATACTTTTTCTTATTTAACCTTTTTGAAATGTCTACATAGAATTTAATTTATTTTCGGCAGTGAAAAAATTTTCAATTCCTTTGGTGTTTTTTCCTAATATATATTATGATAACTTGAAGGTTTATTGTAATTAAGAATGGGAACTTAATAATCTCTATAATTAAAAGACATTATGAAATTGCTTCCAAATGTAGTGAAGTTGAAATCAAGGCTGTATGATCTGCCATTGACAATTATTTAATTCCTTTTTTGTGCTTTTTATTGATGGAACTATTCATCCACTAATAAATTTCATCAAATAGTAGTTTCCCTGTAAAGTAGTTAAATTTGATGGATTTAAAGAGAGGGATGCAGTGGGTGCCAAAGTAAGAGAACAAAGGTACCTGACCTTGACATGACTTGGAGCATAACAACTTCCTCTTCTTTTTATGTTTTTTCCCCCAAACATCTTCCTCGGCCCCAGTTTCAAGCTAGCTAGCCTAGCTGCTAAGCCTATTCTTCTAACCCCTTATTGCATCCCATTCTGCTTGCCAGTAATATTTTGTCTCAAAGAAGGCATCCAAGGAACATGGATGAAAAGAATATATATATATATATATATATGGAAAATTCAATGCCTTTCTTTGCTTTTAACCTAATAATTCAAAAACTTCAAATTTTAAGGAATGGGTTAATTCTCAACTTATGATGATTAAGTTCAAGCCTGCACAATGCTTTTGCTGAAAATTCTCTCCTTTTCTTGTTTGATTTTAAATGAGTTAATTACAAATTTAGTATTTTAAGTTTGCCAAAATGTACGAAGTGGTTCTAACAAAAATGTAAAGTTTGCACCCTAAACTTTCAAATCGTGTATCATTTTAACTTAAATTCTAGTGCCGTTGAAACAACCGAGCCTATATACTTGCAATTCAACCAATATTATCATGTCACATGTACATCATGTGGAACCATTAGCATCTTTTCCAACACAAATTATATATATATATATATATATATATAATGAATCCATTGTTGGATGCCACATGGCATTCATGTGGAATTTTCATAAAATATTCAACATGTGACATAATTAACTAACCCGATGCTGCATAAGTAAGTTAAGTTAACTGTGTTAGAGTATGGGTTAATATGATACACTATATTTGAAAGTCTAGCGTTGTAAATTTTTTCTATTAATTATCAATTTATACATTCATTAAGATTCACACACCAAATGTATACTTAACTCAAGAATCAAGAACCCGTTATGAATTAATTTGAAGGTTTAAGAGAGAGGCAATATAGTAGAAAAGAAAGGGGCATGTGGTTTTGCTGATGGGATTTGAAACCCAATGGTATATATTCATCTCGAACATATACCAAGTTGTTACCAATTGTGTTAAATTTTGACTGAAAAATGGAATTTGTAAGCATGAATCTAGTACTCTAAAGAAATGCTTGCTAGACATCTATAAAAGGCATATTGGAAAAAGGTGTTGGAAAGGAATCAAATCAAATCAAATCAAATTGTAGGAGAAGTTATTGGGTAAAGTTGGAAAACACTGGAGGAACCAATTCTGTAAAAGATCCTCATCATTAGTCATTTTTAAGAGGGAATTGCCATTACTTTGTGCTGAATTCAAAGTGCATGCCATTCATAGATAATTAATCTACATAACCATTTTCTCCTTCTTGCTACTCATTTAGCTAGCTGCCTATTATGCCTTTATCATGCATGGAGTCAACTTGCGCATGTATCCCTACAAATTTAATTAAATCACACTCCAAAACCATTTAATTAAATCACTACAATTGTTTTACTAAATTTAGAGTTGTCCATAAGCTCAACAACCTGCCCAAGCTCGGGGGCTCGTCACTGTAACCCGAGTTTGGACGTAGCTTTTTATATCCAAACTTGACTTGACCTAATTAACTTATTTTATTAATAAATATGATATTTTTATTTAATATGATTTTTAAAATATTAGAATATTTATATAAAATAATAAGTAAATGGACGAGTTGATTTTAAGAAAAGAAAACCCAATAGACCAAATCGAACTTAGCTTGACTCAACCCACCAACATCTCTTTTGCATTTATATCATTAAATTTTTATCACAATCATTTATTTTTCTAATTATCAAGATCTTTAAGAAATTGTTTTTAACAGGCATGCTTCAACTTAATTTTTGTTGCACTCTACTTTATATTATTTATTTTTATTCAAAATTCAAAATTTTACTGTAAATAAAAATATGTTGTTTCTTTAAATCTCATTAAAAAGTAACCATCAAATAACAAAGAAATAATAATGAGAATCAAAGCCATATATAAGAAAGTGTAAATGTCACGAATCTCACATCAATAATAAATAAAATGAGTATTACTTTTATAAGTAAGGGTTTTTTTCCACTTAATAGACATATGTTGAGAGTAAATGTTTGTAACAAATAGTATCAAAACCTATTCAAATAGTCTTTATTGATGTAAAACCCTCAATTAAAAATATCAAGATCAAGGTATTCTCATATCAAGGTGAGTCACTATCGTCTATGAGTGAAATAGCTAGTGCAACATAGTTGGGTGTGTTAGAATGTATACAGATCTCATCTATGGGTTAAATAGATAGTGCCAACATTTTGGCTGCTGTGTTTCTTCTGGATTGGTCAAGGAGGTTGTGCTTACCTCCATTGTTGCTTTGTTTCTTGAACTTTTCTTCCGGAGGGGTGATGGTTGCAATAATTTTTTGTAAGCTGCAGTGGTCGTGTAAAGAGAGGGAGACTCTTCCTTGATTGAGTTTATTTTACTTTTATTTATAAAGTTTACTAATTTTCAAAAAAAAAGAAAGAATATCATAGAGTCTTATATCAATAATAAATAAGATGATTTAGATCTTGAACCTGTAAGTAAAAATCTTTCTCTAAGAAATAAAAATGTATTTTAGATTAAAAATATTGATCCATTTCTCACTATAAGTTTACCATAATTAATTAAAGAGGCAAGAGCGCCACTATGGAATTAAATACTCTGGCAAAGGTGAAAAACATTTATATATATATATATATATATATATATATACAATGTAGAAATTGTTGAAAGAAAATAGTAGAGATTTTATTTACGGAAAAAGAAAAAGGCATAATAATTGATGAATCAGAAAGCTATGATTGGGTAACATTTATTCAAAGAACAGGAAATGATACAGTTATAATTATCAAATCATGACATTGGCATCTCGACTTTCTCGGCTTATGTGTTGGAGAAGACAAAAGCAAAGTCCAAATGACTTACCCTACCCTAGTATTTCTTTTTTCTTTCTTCTTTTTTTTCCTTTGAGGGAAAACCAAAAAACACTTCTTCCCCATCTCTTCACCGTGACACGCACAGATCTGACACTTTGCCATTTTGGCCCAGCAGATTCCCTTTCTTCTCTCTCTCTCTGCCTTCAACACCAGAGAAGAATGGAAGGAAACCCCCATGCACTGTCTGGTCTCGACCATTCTGATCAACACCCTTCCCCATCCATATTCCTTTTATCTATTTTTGTTAAATTCAATCTCCCATCTTTCTTAATTTGTATTACCTCTCCACTCATCAAGCTAAGGAGATCTTTCAATATTTACATGCATACCCACAGAGCAGAGCCTGGAGAGGTAGGCTAATAACTTAACCAAAAAACACACACAGAGAAACCCAATTTTTTTTTAACTTAATCAAATAATTGAACAAAATCATATGTAAGAAATCGAAGTAAACATATAAACCATACCATCATCATCTATATATGAAACAAGTAGCATACATACATGCAGAAAAATATAGAGTATCTCTCTTCCTATACATTTCTAGTTCAAAAAAGGAAAAAAAAATAAAAAAAAGAAGTAATTAATGCCAGTGATGATGACGATGACAACAAAGGTAACAAACTCCTCACAGAGGACAAGCAGTATTAATGGTGGGACTAAACCGTACTCATAAAGACGACAAACAATTAACAATACGTTTGCCGTCACGACTCTATCATCTTCAACCCGTTCATGGTGGTGCAAATCATGTCTCCCCAAATCAAACTCACCTGTTGGAAATAGGGTTTGGGCCGCTAGGAACTTCGTGAGCTTCGGCTCCAAACTCTCTCCGTGAAGGTTTGGACGATGCTGATGATGAGGAAGAAGGAGAAGTTTGCTTGGGGCGGAACTGGTTCGTGGAATAAGAGGTGGATTTTGAGGAAGTGGCTAAGAGACGCCTTCTGAAAGGGATGGAGGAGGAGGAGGAGGAGACATTGGATGAGTTTAGGGGGTTTGTAGAATGAATGAGTAGAAGGAAAATGAAGAAAAGTGTGAGGAAGAGAAGGAGAGATTGGGGCTTTGCATAGGTCTCTGAGAGTGTTTTAGGCGCTGCCATACAATCAAGAAAAAGAAACAACCACCCCCCAAGAGCCCACAAGGGTTCAATATCCATGAACCAGCAAGCACCACGGCTGAAGAAAAGGAGATGAATGAAAGAAAGAAAAGAGAAGAGAAGAAGCTTCACCAAAAGTCACTATGGAAAGTAGGTTTTGAAATTCGATACACATTTGTTGAGGAACCAAATTAAAGAAGGGGAACCGCCTTAACTTGGAATTAAGTTTATATGAAAGGTGTTGGGACTTGATCACTGATGAATTCACCAAATAGCCCCTTTGTTAAGTTTATGAAACTACAAGAATAATAAGGTTTTATTGGGAAATTAATTATAACATACACATATATGCACATATATATAGATTTTTTGGATTATTGCTTCAGCTTCACCATAATGCCCTTACTAGAGCTTGGATAAGAAAGTTTATTTTGTTCTTTCATGAATCATGCATTGACTAATGATTACATGCAACCAAATAACCACCTTTGTTGATAGGAGGAACATTAAATTTTTTTTTCAATGGTTAATTTCTTTTTACCTCGAGAAAATGTTGCTCAATTGTTGGGGGAGAACTAGTTCATGGATCACGTTTTTAGAATGTGCCAACATATTCTTATCCCATTTAACTCAAAACCCAAACTGTTATAGGTCTTTCCTTTTTTTTTTTTTTGTTCCTGGTAAAGT